GGGGGGGGGGGGGGGGGGGGGGGGGGGGGGGGGGGGGGGGACAGCTGCTGAAAAGCTGACTGAAGGATTCAAATACCCAACTATCTTACTAAAATGATATTCATTACTTTTTGGGACTGATTTGATATGAATAAACATAGTGTATATGCATAAAAATTTAACAAAGAGCTAACAGTAATTAATAATTGTTTTGAAGCAGTTTTTAAGGTCCTCAATCAGATGGCCATAAGTTAACATGGTGCCCCCCTCTTTATACCACCCCCCCTCCCCCCCCACCCCCTTCTCCTGATAATTATTGCACAGTCCCTAATCGGTCAGAAATGGGCGGAAATTTCAAGTTTTTAACACAGTTTTGAGGGCATTACAGAAAGCAACCCTGCTTACATGTCGAACTATTTTAACACGCTAATAAAAAATTCAAATTTCGAAACCAAGAAACAAACATTTCTTTATTCCGACAGGAAATAACTTCGTGGTCATTAGATTTTCCCTTTTTGCATGACGTTGTTTAAAAATTGATGAACCCACTTTTATGTGCTGTGTCCTTTTCTTTCTTAGCTACGAATTCTTCAATTTTAAATTTCCTGAGGTTTCCGTATATCAAATCGTTGCCTTTACGCAGGGCCCACCAAGGCAGCTAACAACAGTTGCGAATTCATTACCAATGTGGCTACTCAGTTTGAAATAGATTATCATCACTTTAATCAGGACCTTTGATAGGCATTCCTGTTTAACATGCATATATACTTAAACTACATCGTAGTCTTGCAAATTCAATTCTTTCATATTTCAATTCGAATAACTTTCATAGAGTAAGACTTTACAAAATGATGCTTTAAATCACCTTTTAAGTCGCTACTATTCACCGAAGAACAGCTGTCGATGTGATGAGGTGCGCTCATTTTCCTTACATTCTTGGAGGGAGAGGAGTTTGGTGTGACAAGGTCATTCCTTTCGTCATCGGTAACAACTCTTCTTTTCCAATGCTGGCTCTTGTCCAAGGTGTTGCTGTCCGCCATCTGAGACGCCACGAACTCTTTAAGTTTTTCTTCCATGCAAAAGGGTATGCAGCAGTAAACGTCATCGCACGATTCAGCGTGTTTTTTAGCGAGGTTTTTCATGCGTTGGCACACCTGGCACTGGGTCTTTTTGCAGCCCTGTGTGTGTTTCATCGTCAACTTCATGTTCACACAATGTGGAAGTGGACACTCGGGGTTCCAACAATTTAAAGTGTGTTCTAGAAGTTCTAGGGAACTTTTAAACCGTCCTTGTACGGCAGCTGCATCTTTTGTGTTTGTGGTTTCCTGTCCTGCCATTATGACGTAACTCGCGACGATCTAGAAAAGCCAAATCCATTGTGAGTTATTGAGGTCCCCTAAGTTTCATATTTTTTCGGATACGTCTGATTTCCCTTGATGTTCGTGATTGTTGCCCCTAAATCTACCAATGAATCAGCTTATCCAATTTCAAATAAAGAAATAAATAAGCAAATAAGTGGATCAATACATAGCATTAAGCGTGTTAGCGTCTGATCACTCGTTGACAAAAAAAAGCCGCTTGCAACCTATCTATAAAGGTTTTCGTCAACAACTTACAAGTCAGTTTCCGGTCGAATCTCAAAACATTTCTCAGAAACATCATCATCTTATTCGACACAACGCAAACCTTACGGACATGTTTCCCATGCTAGAAATAGATTGACGCTTATCGGAAAGAAGAATTTCTTGAAAGACTTTCTTTTCAAAGCGAAAATATCTTTATGTAGTAGAAACGTAGTTATTTCCTACCTAGAAGATGACTATATTTACAAATATTTCTGACAAAGCTAAACCGCTGTCTCATGAACTATACTTCCACAGTTTGGCTAGCTAGAGTTTAACTTTGAGACTCCCGACAAGGATTTGTAGTTTTTCACAAACGAAAATGAGCTAGGAAAGTATAAACTTTCAAATTACCGGAAACAATTATCGCTTCCAAGAAGGAACCTAGACCATAAAATGCTTTTAAAGTTAAAACAGAATTTCTTTACGACTCTGCAAAAGACACAAGATCGTGTTTGAGGTACCTCCCGTCACTAACATTTTTTATTTGTAAGGCTACGGTCTAAAGCCAGGAAAAAAAAACTAGAAGTTATAATATTCGTGGTGACTGTGAATAAGTTGACAACTGCGTGGGATTTGTAGTGTATTGTTATTCATGCCTGGTTTAAAACAATGGCTCGCTCGCTCGCTCAAGACACGCAATTCTTGTTTGCCAATTTTAAAAATTAAAACAGATTCAGCTACCATTTTCGAACATACACCCATACAGCACGCCCAAGAACATCGTCCGTCTCAAGTAATATCCACCCCGCCCCTTTGAGCTTGGAGCAGCACGTAACAATTACACGTAGGAGGTCGATCGGATACTTGAAATTTAAAATCGTTCAATCGAAAAAAGACTTGAATATCACCGAACTATCGATCCTCTTGCTTTAAGCGTCGAATTTCAAAGCATTCTTCACCATCGAAGCTGGATCTATATGAACTATCTTTTGATCACGAGAGCGAGTTAACGAGCTCAATAAGTCTAAGAGGGTATCTGCACTGCCGGAGAGAAAATTTTCTCTTAACCAGACGTAATCGACGCATGAGATCGTCACGATCATGCAATATTTGTCAAGTGAGATTATTTTACAGATCTGAGGTAGATTTACCCCACGGCGATCAAATTCGGACGTTTGCCAGCCCGGGCTAAGATGTAAACAACCGTTGTTTTTTAGCGCGAGCTAAACAAGCCAGCACATGATACCCGCAAAAAGTTGCAAGCAGTAGGGTTAAATAATTTTTCACTGAATAAGAGCCCAGTTGCAATCACAGTTAAAGCGAAACGAAGATAGATAATAAGGTATTACAAGGCACTGAGAGATGTGAAGACAGGCTTACCTTCTGATTGCTGATATCAAACTCCAAATTTGGCAAACGGGAATACACACCTTTAGGATGAATGTTACCTGCTCGAGAAACTGAAGAAAGACCACTCGTTCAGCGTTTGTAAGCTTTTTTTTTATAGGCACCCTCTCTTATTGTTGAGGCATATAGCGATATCTGGTTGTTAAAAATGCGGAATTTTCGAATGAGCAATTCCGAGCAATTTACTTCCGGGGTATGACTCACACGCACCAACCGGTTCCGTTTTACAGAGACTGACCTTAAATTTTAAAATGTCGAACTTCCATTGTCTAAATATATGAAAGAATATGGTTAAAATCCTGGTTTCTTGGTCCACTCACATCAACCTCTTATTTCCACAGTGCCACTATCCGAAATTGATTCAGAATGCAGGTAGATTTCGTTGCATGACGATTCTATAACAAGCCCACAAAATTAATTGCGTGGGTGTATACTTTTCTTATAGTCATAGATGTTTCAGATATCTAAGCTTTTGTTGTTATGAATCTTACCCTTATTATGCTCTGAGGAAGGGCTTCGCCGGGTAATAAGTTTGTTATTATCTACTCTTCCATGAACCCACGGTCTTTCCGAACTCCATATAGTTTCGGAACTGATCTGGTTTCTCCGTAACTTACACCAATTTCCTTTGTCCCCGGGAGGTTGGATAAATTGGATCTCGACTGTTATTGTAATGGTTGCTGCGGGGCGTTTACACGTGCCTCACATCCTTTGCCAGTCCTATCGCGTGAAGCAGTCAGGCTGAAAGCTGCAACGAAAATGTAACGTAATTCGTTACAGTTTTCCCTTAAGAAAAGGAAAATACAATCTAAGAATTTATGCTAGGTAAAGACCAACGAAAGCCGAGTAGGCCTACTCTTTTTATCTGTTTTAAATCAATTCTTTTTCTGGTCTGATTCACTAAACTCAAGTTACTACTTCAACTGAAATACTAACCCTTCCGAATGGTGCGTGGTTTGAGCCGAAGCTAACGTGACAGGGATGACTAAATATAACCAAAATTCGCCCACAGGAAGTGAATTTAGTTTCATCTTTAGATGATAAAACCTGTTCGCAACCTATAACTTGCTTTTTGCAAGGGTAATTTCAATATTTACGCTAAGAAATTTTTTCGTTCAAAAGCTTATGTTTGTTTTGTTTGTTTTTTTTGCGGGAATTTTTTCAAATGGGATAAATGCAGATGCTGGTGACGCGTCACTTGTCGATACAAATTAGGTTGAGCCGGGTCGGATGCGTCTAGAAAAATAAAGTGAAGTGTTTTTGTGGTTCTCGAGAGCCAATTAACGTAAGACGTGAAATTAAGTTTTCTTTAAACAGAAGTTCACACCCTAACTAGAGTAAAACAGCTAACCAACGAAATTGATTCCATCAATTCACCTCCAATATTTTTTCCTTTAGAACGCTACTGAAAGCGAAGTCATCATGGCACGGCTGAAAGGCCGTGCAACTCTAATATTTAGCCAACTGCTGGGCAATCATGCAATATTGACTTTTGGCATGGAACGGTCGAGTCACTGTTCTTCCCTTGTTACGTATTGGGATAATAGTGAAAACTTTGTAACCGAACAAATGGAGCACAACGGTTTCCAATCTACCGTCTGCGATCGATCTACTCAAATATTTCGTATGCTTGGCCTCCTTTTTTTTTTTTTCTGGGCTTACTGTCGCCCCTTTGCAGTTTTTGCCGAATCACTGAACCAATATTGTACATTTTCCTCCAAACTGGTAATGTTTGCAAATATAAAGCTAGTCGAAATTTTGTGACGCAAATGTGTAGCTCCTAAAGTCCGGAAAAGAGGGTGGCTTGCAAGTTCGTTTTCTTACCCGCCCAATATCTTTCACCTTGGCATTCTCCTTCTTCACCTAGTGCTAGAGCTGCGCCCCTCTTGTTAGAACCGAAGTTTTGCCCTTGAAACAAACAAAGGGAAAAAAAATATTCTATGTCGTTCCATACACCATTCTGCATGACAAGAAAATGATTTTATCAGTCTGCGATTGAAACGGTCGGGCGATATTGAACGTATTTGCTGATGCTTTGTCAATTATTAAATGAATAAATAGCGCGGCCGTAAATTAGCAGCTAAATACTAGTCTACTGAAACTGAAATCTGCTTCAAATTTTTACTCAGTGATGCAGTTAATTGTAACCGTTGTTCGCTTTTCTAAGGTAAGATCACGTAAAAGAACTATTCAGTCTTACAACTTCACTGGGTCAAAGAAGGAAAGAGCTGGATTTGATCTACCTTCTTAAAACAAAACCCTGAACCTTGTCTGCTTTATCCATTCTTTACTTTTAAAGAATAACCTTCGATCGAAAATACGCCCCAATTGAATTACCATAATAACTCAGTGAAATCTTCCTCTAAATCTAATTTAGTAAAATACGTGACTGAAATGCAAATTATTTATGGTCTGGTGGGTGTTGTCATGGGAGTGAGCTTTGATGTACTTCCCCAGCGCAAGCGACATTCGTTTGAGATTCTTTTAACCTGACTGAACATTTACAACAATTAGGTCAACGATTTTTCCGATTTATCCTCTTTTTGATGGCTTTCTTTACTTTTTAACGATAACTGGCGGCAAGAGAAAATCAAGGGATTTTTTCTTAGTAGCGGTCCAATTCGAAATTATTAAACCCAAAAGACACAGACGGACATTTCGGATGTCGGAGAATACTTTCATAGTAGGCAGGGCACGGGATCAAAATTACTACCAAAAGTAGCGACAAGAAGGTCATTAATATTATTCAGTTTGAATTATCCCTTGGAAAGACTTTGATCTTCGCTATATTTTGAGGTACGTGTCGTGAGTAAAAAAGGAAAAAATGCACTAGAAAGGAGTTCCCAACTGAGGACGCCTTAAAATCTCAGCTTCTCGTCATCCCCGGTCACTTGAACTACTCTAGGGCTACGCCTTGGGCTTGGAGCCATGACATCATTAATAATAAATGGAATAGGAGTCACCTCTGCTGAATCCGTGAACGACAAACTCTCTCTGATTTCGCCAACTTTTCCTTTAATTCTTAAATGGATCCAACAGAAAACAAGGAAAATATATATTTTGATACCACTATTGCAATATTTTCGCGGTGTCTTCACAGACCAAGGGTAGACTGCATAATTCCTCGTAATAATAACTCGTAAGCGGGTTAAGATTTCCAACTCTGGCACTCTTTATGTTTCTGGACCATCTAAGTCTTAGTCATAGCATGTCGTTTTACTCTGATGATTCTCAATCGGTGAAGAACTAATACAACAAATCTCATCTTCCCATCATCCCAGGTCACTTCAACTATCCAAAGGCTACGCCCTTGCTGCATCCGTGAACGATAAACTCCCTGATTTCGATTACTTTTCCTTTAATTCTTGAATGGATCAAACAAAAAACAAGAAAAGTATATATGTTTAAAACCACTATTGTAATATTTTCACAGTAATTTCACAGATGAAAGGTAGACTGCATAATTCCAATTTTTGTCTTGTCCCTCCGATTACACGGGTTAAATACAAGGGGGAGGGGTAGGGGGAGGGGGAGGGGTATGTTAAGAACATTACAGAGCCTTGTGGAGGGATCAGGTGAATTATATTGTGTTACAATTAAAATTCTCCAACTCCAATCCTCCCCTCCTAGGCGATAAATAACAAACGGTTCCGCTCCATCGTGCCTTTATACTTGCGTCCCCAGAAATACTTTGGTTTCGTGTAAAACGTCTGTTAGTAACCGAATGCACATCTGCTGTTCCTCCGTGGACTTTGTTTGCATCAGCAGGCGTTGAATACTGTATAGCGCATACATTAGGCGTGCTTTCATCTGAGTTCTGGTATTACCAGTATCATTGTCAGCTCCATTATCTACGTTAAAATTCCTCTTTTGCGGTGTATTACCGGAAGTTCCAGGTTCTTGAGGAAAAGGAGGACTTGTCTCTGAATGTATTCTCTGGCGCTGTACTGCATTGTCGATTTGGCTTGTCTGCAGAAGCGCGGCATTCTGGCCTTGCCCAAGAGTAAACGGATACGGGACGTCGTTACCAACACTGTTGTTCGGAGCTGACGCTTTAGCCCAAGCATTTATTGTTGTATCCTGTGAGTACGGCGAAGAGCCAGTGGCAGTGGGCGGTGTTGTTAAGGTGCCTGCTGAGGATACTGGAAAAAGCTCCATTAAAGCACGACGCGTTAAGCCTGTCATACCATTGGCTGCGTTTACACTGGATTGATCTTTACGTTGTAAAAGACAAGACTGAGGAGCCAGATGTGCAGGCGAACAGGTCGTTTGAACCGAGCTTGAATGGTTAATCAATACGTTTAATGGTTGAACGGTTGGGTTGACTTTCATCGCGTCTTTCGCGTTTTTTAAGTAAGGAGGAGGTGCTGGGGTTGATTTTGCCAGTCTCTGAGTCACTTTACTCCTCACTCCTTGAGGTCTTGATATCTCAGAACTATCTCTTTGTTCGAATGAAAACTCTAGGGGAAAATTGTCTTTGATTACATCCCCTAGGTGATCATTCAAGTCAGTTTGGGCTCCTTTGTAAGGGTTGTCATTTGCACCCATGCGAAAAGGTATTAGGCACTTGGGTTCAATACAGGATCCAGCAGGTTCTATAGTTAGGGTTTTCAACGTTTGAGAAACTTTGCAGGCATTAACAGTTTGAAATCCCTGCGAATTTTTTAGCTGTAAAAGTTTCTTATTTACGCATATCGGAATGATACATGCGGAATCTGAGCAATTTAAGGCGTGCTGTTGTAACCCTTGCGAATTATGGAGTATTCTCTTTGGTTCTGGTTCTGCCATTAGTTTAACTCGAATGTCCCTGGCGGGAAGAACCTGTGTGGTTGAAAGTAAAGATGAGAACAGATGGATGGTTTGGATTAAATACCCTTGGCGTGCACAATCCATGAATAAATCTATGTATATCACTTAGCATTCAAAGTTGCGTTCAATAAAAAAATACCGGCAGCTTGTGATATCTCCCTTTTCCGTGTTTCTTGACGAAAGGGATTCAAATTTCTCAGTTCCCTTTGCGCTGAACTCTCGCGAATATGGGGCTCTCAAGCTGAGGAATTTTATTGACATTCCTTAATAGATAATAAAATGATAATAGGTGGGTCGTTTGTGGCGTGAGGGTAATTATTTTTCCCTTAAGGCGGAATTTAATAGTTAATAGTTGCTAAGAATTAAAGATTGTGCTTTTAGCTTTGGCTAAAATATTTCTTTTCATATCGGACACTATTGCCACGAAGTAACAGAGTCACGGTGAAAAGGTTTGAGTCGTTTTTGTGCAACAAGTAGAAGGAAACGGTTGATCCTAATTTCCAAGGTGAAAAAGTTCTTAATTTGCAATGTTACAGGCACACTTAGGGTTGCTGTTTCCATAGCTTCTCCCAACTTCAAAGATACTCGCTAAAGCGTGAGGCCGAGGAAAGAGGCCGCAGAAATTTTTCCCTCTCGTCATTTGTTTTCACTCATTTTTATTCGTGGCTTGGAGCCCATACTTATCTCTCATCTTTTCAAGCTTCATTTTGCAATTCTACTTGAGTGCGAATATGAGTCATGTTTACCTTTAAGGCGATTTGAGTTTACTGACTTTCCAGATTATCAGAAGATGCTATTTCGTTGCATGTTAAGCGATTAAAGCTTACAACCAGAGGTAAAAAATTGAATTGCTTTGCCAACCTTTTTCAGGTTACGCATTTGCGATTTAACAGAAATGAAAATTGTTTTATTCACCCAGCACCCATAGAGGGCTGTCCTTAATAAATATACTTGTTTCAAAATTATTCATATCACAAAAATTACACCTCTTCAGTTGTTTTCAAATCATAATTCTAAGTGTCAAGCTACTTTCTCCCTGCAAGAGTCCACTATTTAAAATTTCGATAAACGTACTTTTGGGATGCATTTGAAAATGCATCGTCTCTTGGGCAGTCATATCTACCACAAGAATTAACTTCATTCTATGAAGTAATCGGTAGCACCCAAGGATATTAAGGTGAAAATTTAGCATTGATCAAAATCTCACCTGTTCTGCAGCTCAGTTCTTTTACTGCAAAACTGTTCTTCCTTACTTGTGGTAATTTCTCCCCAAAATAAAGCGTGTGAAATTGTTACTGATTGTTCGGTTATTTAACCTAGTCGAAAGATAACAATTTCCTGTGTGGGTTGGATAGCGAAATGTACCAGATAGTTCTACCTTGGAATTTTTCCCACCGTGACCACCCACGCTTTTGGTATCAGACCGGCCGATGTGTTTCCAAGTTAAATATTTATTTTAGACGAGGACTTTTCAACCATTTCATTTCATTTATAAACTCTTTTCTCCATGAAAATACAACAGTACAAAAGGGCACTTAGAAAAAAAGAAAAAAGAAAAGGTTGGATAGATAAAGGTAACTCCTTGTTCGTTATTTTCTTCTCCCACTGTATTGAGGTTATTTGCAAAACCGTGCGATGGGTCTCTCGATGTCACGGTCTGTCTAACATGCACGTATGTATGAATATAGTGAAGACAAATTCGCGTAACTGGAGTAACTTATAAAAAATCTTAAATATTAGGCCGCAGATAATAAACATTAGGATCAGTTCTGCTAAAAAAAAGTTTAAAATACTTTTAATTTTTGTCTTTTATTTGCATTCCCCCGCATTCCTAAAGTTTTCTAGAATTTTAGTTTACTTTTAAAGGTGACCCAAAGAGGTCATGTTAAAATATCTCAGTACCCAGTAATTAAATGGGTCAACAACTCAGGCTATATCATAAAATTATTTTAATTTTAAACATAGGCAGGACCAATTAGCAATCGGACCAAGTTCGACTCATCTAAATTGTTTTAATTGTAAACAAAGGCAGGACTCACTTTTAATCGGACCACGCAGGACTTTATCTGAAACTGCAAGAGTTGTTTATCTGATTTTAAGGAAAAGCACTTTCAATTTTTGTGTTAAAAGACACTAATTTATAATTAATACTAATTTAGTTCAAACATCATATGAAACGTTTCACTTCAGCTTTACTTCAACGCTTCTCCTTATTCTTATATAAACCAAATTGTTAATGGACACCTTTTTCTCCTACAATCCCTCTGTGAAGATTCAAGTTTCTGGACAAATCCCAAAACAATTGTGAACGTGATAATCTTTTCCTATTATCTGCAATAAAGTTTATCATAGAATCTCATTTTTTACATTTTTGTAGTGCCTTCGACTGCCCGTCACCAACCGGATAAATTATTCGTGAATAGATTCCCTTTGTGACCTTGCGGGCGTAAGAGTATTTGTTAGACTTAATATGCTATTTTTTTTTGTTATGGCGTTTGTTTAGACTGAATTTTTTTAGGGAATGCTGCACGGTTATTTTATGGAAATTCTACGGTTAAGATTGGTATCAGGGAAAAGTGAAGGTATTTTAAAGAGTGATGTCTCTGAAAAACTCGAAATTGCGTAACTTTTGGCTCCCTAAACTGAAGTAGGAAACGCGAACACCTCCACCGTAACCCCACGGTGTCCAGCCTTTCCGCCATTGGCCTACGCTTTTTTTACCACGTAAAGCCCCTGGGTGGATGGTAAAAAATTCATTCACTTGACGGACCCCATCAAAGTTGAGTGGTCAAAATTTAGGCACTCGAAAAATTAATTAAAAAGAAACCTTGACTACGTCTCAAACTGGCTTGCACAGTCTGAAGACGTCAGTGAAAGGTATTCTCATTTCTTAGTTGATTTTAATATATTCGCTTAAGAGAGAATGTTTTTACAACAAACAGGAAACAATTTGTGGCGAGATATAGACAACATCCTGAAGTGACCGATACAAGCTTGTGTTCACAGTCAGGAAACGTAGTTTA